TCTTCAGTTCGAGGAAGGAATTAAACTGATTTGTTTGGCTATTAGGCGTCAACCAGGCATGAATATTAATATTTAAGATATTTGGTTGGAAATTATCTTTCTGTAGTCACAGATATCCCATTGGAAGTAGGTACAATTTTAAAGAATAAAATGTGTACTTAATGATTTTTACTATTACGCTTATTTTACAATATGCGTTTTTGATTAATACAGTAGTTATTTTGCTGCTCTTTATAGTTGTTTTCCTGCACTTTATTTCCAGATTCTGCTTCTTCTTGTTTTTGTCTCTAAAGTCTAAGGCGCCGTTTATGCACGAAGAGCGGGAGCCTAATTCCATTGACCACTGACAATGTCGCCATCACAGAATCCATGGCATCCAGCAACAAAACATACCAGTACTTACAGTTTGTAGTACGGGGTTTTGGGGGACGATGAGGTAAAGAAAACATGATCGTATCAAAAGTGTTTCGGCTTACAAGGTATACATACAGTTTGTTTCAATGGCTTATAAACCATATAATTTTTCCAGATTTTAATAGATATTTTCGTATATGTCATAAAAAGTGGCCTCATCAGGTGACAATCAAGTCTTATGACGACTTTATAACTTTGGAACGAAAAGAGATACCACAACAAAATTTGGCATATCATAAATGGTAATAGTAAGCTACGTTTTTGTGTACATGGTGATCGGATGTCATCTATGGGGGACGGCCCATGGGGAGTAAGTTGAAAATCTTAAAGGTAAGCATAGGATGATATGTATATCAAATTGTAGGTCTTTGTTAGTAAATACAATTCCGCGAACCCAAACACAAACGGACAACCGAGTCAAAAATGACATATGTTCAAAGATTCATTGAATTTGCAATTCCATTATACAATACCTCCACAGGTGCCTGCTAAACAAAAGTCGCATTAAAACCCCCCGCTTATAGAAGTCGGAAGAAGCCCATAAACAACGTAACTATAGGTCGATATGCACATTTAATTAAATGTGTTTATTAGTATAATACATTGCCTCAAATTTGAGCTTAAAAGATCAACTGAGTAAAAAATGTTAGCCGTTCAAAGATTCAAAATGGTAGATTCAAGAAATCTTAGACTGACTGTCATTTTTTACTCGGCTGTCCGTTTGGGTTCGGGATTGCGGCAATGTATTTTATCAATACAGGACTTTTAATTTACCTATCAACCTATGCTTACCTTTAAGATTTGCATTTGACTCCCGTCCCCCATAATCGACGTCCGATCATCGTGTACAAACAATATTAGCTTAGGGCCACACTGCCTATAGTAAAAATATTAGCTTAGGGCCACACTGCCTATAGTAAAAATATTAGCTTAGGGCCACACTGCCTATAGTAAAAATATTAGCTTAGTGCCCACTACCAGTAATTATATGGCATATTTGGTTGTGATATCTCTTCTCGTTCTTAAGTTATAAAGTCGCCCTGAGACTTAATTGTCATCCTGGATATTGCCCCAATGATTCCTAAATAATATTGGGAAAACATATACACAAATTTAAATTGCTCTATATATTTAGACTACGTGGAATCACTGTCGTTTCGTGTTATTTGATAATTTTCTCTCGATAATTAAAAATCTATAAACCAAATTTGGTTTCAAAACCAAAATTACATTTATATGGTTAACAATTAAAATAAACAATTAATAATTATTGATTTTATCATTGTAAAATATGAGATATTTAGGTTACATTCTATCAAAAATGTTCGTATCGGGATTTGATAAACCTTAAAAATGCAACAAAACCGTAAACAATATGTTAAGAAAATCAAATATTGGTTGTGAGCAGATTTGTGGATTAATCTATTTCTTCGACAAATTTAGGACTATTATGACTAACATTGGGACTTTTAAGTCCAATTAAGCCTGAAGCCAGAGGTTCTTCGGAATTGCAATTAAGGTGATGAATGTTGAGTTGGGGAGCTGAAACTTGTAACAGATGGATATGTTATGAAATGTAACTAAATAATTTAAGTACGGCGCAACTTAATCTAATAATGAATACTGCCTTAAGTCTGCTATGATGACAACTTTCACATTAGATTCTAAATTGTCTAAACAACAATTATCAAACATCGCTATTTGTTTCCTGTTGTTGTGTACAAGTATATACACTATGGTTCCCTGTACATGTATTCACACTAGACTAGGGTCTTCTATTGCTGGCGATGAGCTTACACCTGGTCACGACAACGATTCAAGGTCAACCAACACATCCTTATAATTGTTGGAAAATTAATTTAATTGTTGGAGGAAGCTCCACAACAAAGCTTGTCGGATTTATGCGGTGTAATAATCACTCGTTTAAATGACTTAACGCCTGACCGCAGCCATAGCCGCAACCTCAGCGCCGCGCCGGTCCGGTAACTGGCAGAAATGATATGCGGTTTACATCAATCGCAGTGAAAATATGGACAAACTGGCTGTTTAAATGTTCCATTGTGATGTCGTGTGTCTTCATTGCTAATTATTGCTTGGAACTTAGTGCACAATGTATTACATAATAATAAACACGGTAGGCTAGTACGCAGTTTTAAGTACTGTCGTTTCCGACAAGAACTTTATAAAGTGTTGTTTATACAGAACTCGGATTAATTCTTTATAGTTTTCACCTTGTATATTTTGTTAAACTTGGGTACACGTTTTAAGTTTGATTATGACGTTGTCTCCTTTATCTGTGAAAACTAAAAATTGAAAATAAAACATCATAGTGGCATGATCCAACTATGTAGTTTTTGAGTAAGTTACTGCAACTGGCTTATATAAATGGCATGGGTACTTGAGTATCTATTGTTAATGGTTAACATATACTGTTTAGGTAATGTTAAACAATGTCAAATACGACATATAGTAGTATATTTCATCACAAGGGTGGCAAGTGTCTCATTTAGACATGAGCTCAAGCTTAACGACCGTGTAGCGAACTTTGCCAGCGTGATGAACTATATTTTTCGTTATTGCACCACTTTTTTTTACCAAATTAAGTTAAAAAACGAAAATACTTTTCGTGTAAAGGTAAGCTCCCATCTTGTTTCCAATGTTCCTGGAAAGGCAGCTGTTTAGTAAGAAATTGAATCATTCCTTCTATTAAGATTGTATTTTATTCTATTGTATTGTATTTGCGTCTATTATACTATCAATAGAGGTCAGTATAACGAAATATAGATTTAATATGGTATGGCGTCATATATATATATATATATATATATATATATATATATATATATATATATATATATGACGAAATAGGCTATAATTTATCAATAGTTTTCTTGAGACTTGGAAATACTCAATCACACGAACCCTTCAAGTATTATTAAGGAACAATTAAGGTGTAGGTGTACTATTTTCTCGTATACTGTACTGTAAACTCCTACATCGACATAAGTAGTACTGGTACTGCACAACCATAAACCGTGATTAGTGTAGTTTGCTCAACATTCACGACCACTTATGCTGTTGGTTATTTTACATTTTCCGTTCAGTCAAAATATGCGTACAATGTTTGTTCAATACTTCATGAATCGAACCAGCGAACAGACTCGGGCGGACACATATTGCTTGTTTATTTGTTCTGTGGCTGCAGTTGATATGCTTCGTCAACGATTTTTTAACTTTTATTGGATTTATTTGAGCATGTTTACTATGATATAAAATGCATACCATCTGCCGTTTGTCCACATGTTATTCAAAGTATATTACGTCATAGATGAACATGTAAACACAAACTTTATAGGCTAAGTTCTGTTGATATTGACCAGATAGTGAATTCTACGATGTTGTAGCTTTTTATCTCACTTTTTGTGTTGGAATATTATTGTTCCTTTTAATGTCCATATAAAACGATGTATTCAGGCCATATTCAACCCCCAATCACCAAATCATCATTTTCAAAACTATTTGTTTTTTTTTTTGTAATTTTTGTCCGATTTTGATGAAACTTAGTTTGAACGGGGTGTTACGTTTTATGAGGGTAAAAATGGGTTTTCTCATTTTTGACCCTCAAAACACAAAATTTCCCAATTCATCTCTAGACCTTTTTAAATAGCTTAAAAAACAAATAATTTAGTATATCAAAGCTTTTTTGTACGGTTATTGGTAACGGAGAAAGATAAAAAAAATTTAAATTTAAAGTTCCCATGTAACTAACTCTTATGGAGAATATTGTAAAATATTGTAGTTTACTTGTTTATGGATTATTTTGATTAAGCTTGGCGAATTTATTTATTTTATACTAAGCTATTAATATTTTACAAAAAAAAACACACTTTATTCGTTTCCTTGAAGCAGCAAACCTAGGTACTCATTAAGCCTAATGTTTTTTTTTAAATAGATTTAATTAAAAATTAATTCAGACAAATGGAAATTCGCTTAGTCGGCAGGTTTGCTGCGGCGGGCGTATGTATATTTAAGAAAGGCCTACGAGTAAGTGTGTGACCTAAATATCTCGGTTAAGATTTTGGAAGTGTTGTTGTCCACCAGAGATTATCATAATTATTTTGGTTTTGATTTTGAATCAAACTACACACACATCAATAATTTAAGGGTTTTGAAAAATAAGAAACTTCAATGTTTTTGCCATTACCAAAAGGTAGAGTTGTTATTGGTATTCGCTAAAATTATTGAATTTCATTTATCTGCAATATTGCTAGCCATACTGTAGTTAAAACCTCTTGCATTTTAAATACGTCATAACTACATCATAAATCAATTATATGGCTAATTTATGACTAAAGTTCTAGGTTTTAATTAACTATGCCAAAATACACAAGAGCCTAAAATGGTACTCTTTTACGTAATGTTTTTATATGTTTAATATTTTAAACTGTATGTGTCTTAAACGAAACAAATAAAACTTATCCACAAAAAATTTAAGATTGCCGAGAAAAGTTGTTTATACATAGTAATAATTTTCGGTGACTATGAATTTTATATCGTAAAAATTAAAAGTAAAGTCATTCACTTACCCTAGATCCACTCGCACGTAAACAAACAAGATAAGAATACAACTGACTCGTATCTTACTAAAAACCAGTGATGGTATAATGATATAGCGTTGCGCGCGCAGCCTGACCGTGGCCTCCGTGATATAGCGGGGATCCCCAGCATCATTGCCTCATGGTGTAGGCCTACGGTAGACACAGGATGTTGAGATGTTGGGTATCTCTGGTAGGTCCACTACCCATCATGAGACCATAATATCTAGCTGCTATGAAATTAATTTAGTAGAAAATTATTTCATTGTAATCTACGTACATATGCTAGTTATTAGCATGTTGTATTGAATTAAGCCGTTGGCATGTAAATAAACAAATCAGTGTATGTTCAAAGGGGGGGGGGCTACAAGGGCTAGATTGTCCCCTCATTGGACACTGGCAAAATAAATTTAAACATCCACATACATTAAAAACTAACGAAGGTTTTTTGACATAATTCTAGACGTTAAAATGGCTTTTAAAAGTCGCTAAAGTCACCAGTCCTCCTCCATTCTTGGGAGTGTGAAGCACCCCCCGGCAGCCCCCCCCCCCTTGACAAGGTCCTAGAACAACCACTGTTATAGTTAAGTTACTCATGCAAAACTTAGGTATCATTTAGGCTATGATTTTTAGTTAATGGTTATATCATTATATCCATAGAATATGATGGATTTATAGGGGGAACCATGCGATGCAGATGTGGTAATGAGAAGTTAAGAGTCAAAGTTTAACTAGGGTCCTAAATTATTAAAAAAAACTCAAACCCTTCAAAATGGTTTAGATGTGTGTAGTGGTGATAAACGTATATATTTATCAAGAAACTAGGGTGACACTTAAGTCTTAGGACCAACTTAACGAAAATAGATATTACAACCAAATTTGACACGTCATTACTGGTAACAGTAAGCTACCTTTCTGTGCACATGGTGATCAGATGTCACCTATAGGGGACGGCACACAGGGAGTAAGTTGAAGATCTTAAACGTAGGCATATGTTGATATGTGCATCAAATTAAAGGTACTAGAGGTCGTCCAGTGGTTGAAAAAGCAACCAAAATATGTAATTTACAGGGTTCTCTATTTTTAGCCCACGGTGTAAATAAAACATGTGATCCATTTATTTTGATTTTCTGTTTATATTTCGTTGTTATTTCGTCACCATCATAGCAACCCGTCCAATGTTAATTTTTTTTAGTAAAAGTCATTTTTTGTTCTTATCTTTGAGCCTATTTTAATTTATAAAGGGATTCCGCACATCTACAGGAAAATATCTTTCTAATAGTGTGCGTAGATTTTCCCTGCGATGTACAGGAGCTGAGAAAAAAGGTTTTAAAGAAACATGCTTGCCTATTAATATATAGATAGATTAATATTGTATATAGATGGATTGAGATTGTTGAACTAAAAACAATGCCACAAACCATACCTCAAATAGACAACCGAGTCAAAAATGGCAGCCGTTCAAAAATTTCTTGAATCTGCCATTTTGCATCTTTAAACGTCCATTTTTTACTCAGTTGTTCTTTTGAGCTCAAATTTGTGGCATTGTATTCTAAAAATAAAGACCTTTAATTTGATATACATATTAACCTATGCTTACGTCTATGATTTTCTTCCGTCTTCTGGCTAAAATCAATGGTTTTTTAGTTATTTAAGAAACATAATTATAAATATCTCCCATTTTGTTTTATGAATTTTGAAAATTATCATAATTTTTTGTGGTTTTGTCTAGTTGTCATAAATGTTTTTGCAAAGTTTCGATTTCGTATGTTAAACCGCTTTTCAGAAAAAAATTAATAAGTGAAAAAACAAAATGGCGATTATGTGATCGAGTAACTAAGGACTTCCGGACAATTTAAATATGATATTTAGATATGTTTCTTACCCAGGAAAAACGCCCTAAAATATTGGTAGAGAGTTCCGGGACACCCTGTATAATAGTAGATAATAGTCAAGAATGCGTCTATATGTGCAAGATCTTGACAATTACAGACCCATTTCTATAACATCGACATTTTCTAAAGTTTTTGAGAAGGCCTTTTTGTGCGGGTTGTTGAATTTCATAAATCATAACAGAGTCTTGTGTCCTTCAGTTTGGATTCGTCAAGGGTGGTTCTACTGTCAATGCTATGTTTTCGATCATCGACAGGGTTGTAAATGCATTGGACAGTAGCTGCCTCTGGAGTCTTCTTCGGTTTGCGGAATGCCTTTGACATGGTTTCGCACGATCTATTGCTTGAAAAACTTGACATCATTGGAATAAGAGGTGTGGCTAATCAGTGGCTGTCTTCTTATCTTAGGGGACGGACACAAGCCGTCCAATTGCCATTTGTTGACAAAAACATTCTAAAAAAGTGTTATTCAGACGTTTTGCTGGTCAAAGCTGGGGTGCCTCAGGGTTCAATATTGGAGCCTATTTTATTCATCTTATACATAAATGACATCAGAAATAGTGTATCAGATGCCCATTTGTGTTTGTTTGCCGATGACACGTCAATTGTTGTTGATAATACCACCCACGGTTCCATGGAAGTATCTACTTTTCTTGAGTCTAACAACGTTGTCCAATGGTCTCTTGACAATGGTCTTGTCATAAATAATGGTAAGACCACTTTGGTGGACTTCAGCATATCGTCAAGACATCGCACTGATCTCAGTGTTTGGATTGACGACACTATCTCGGTGATATCCCATAGTTTTATTTGTATCTTCGAAGACCAATTTGAAATTTTTAGGGCTTCACATTGACGAAAACCTAAAGTTCTCATGTCAAACTGACAACGTTGACCGAAAGGTTAATTCTGGAATCTTTGTGTTACGTCGCCTTGCTCCTTTCACAGATAAAACAGTTCTTCTATCTGCTTACTATGCGGTGGTTTTCCCCTATTTGTCATACGCCGTCACTATCTGGGGATCTGAGACATCTACAACAAAGCACATCTTTGCACTTCAAAAGGAGGCTGTACGGGTCATTGCTGGCATTCGCCAGAGAGGGTCTTGTAGATCAGCTTTCGTCAAATTAAGACTTCTTGCTTTTCCCTGCATTTACATTTTCAATACCTTAAATTTTTTAAACAAAACCATAGTTTTTTTTAACCTTTGATTCCCCAATCCAGATACAACATTAGAAAAAATCCAAATTGAACATCCCATACCACAAAACCTCCTTTTTTTAAAAAAAAACATGCTTTTTACAATGCCATTATGCTATAGAACTCACTGCCTGACAATCTTAAGTCAGTTAGTGATATTAGGGAATTCAAACGTAAACTCAAACGATTTCGTTTAGAAAATAGTTTTTACAGCTTAAAGGATTATGTTAACTACAACTCATCATGAATATATTATTTGTTTCAGGCATGTGTTTCTGTAAATGTGTAATAGTGTAGCTATGTCATTGTTTATTATGTATTTGATTTCAAAATTGTGACGCAAGCCATGCATGTATATATGTTAACAGGCAATAAAGGAATATTTGATTCGATTTGATTTGATATGTTAATCGGGAATGTGGAGCTATCATTACATCAAATTTCAGCCCAATCCGACCAGTAGTTTTTGCGTTTGCTTGTCACAAACATACATACATCCAAATCCAAACTTTCTCATTTAATCCAGACATGTGTCATCGTTTTGCTGTTGTAATCGAACATCTGTTACTTGAGTGTCAACAGCTTTAGATTCAAGATTGCCGAACGTAAATAAAGACAATGTTTGACATTATTTACCCTTCAAACTCAGTTTAGAAGCCAAACCTTCCAGTTAAAGTCATGTCATGTTGTGTCTTGAATTTTGTCAAAATTGAAAAATCGTTTTTGTCAAATAATACAGAACAGGTCGAGGACAATTAATACGTCGACATTGGTGATTCGTGTTCTTCGTCCCGGCATCCCGATGTTTTTGGTTTGAGTTGTTCATAAGACAAACTCGTGTGCTTTTTAAATATTCTTGCCATAGCTAAAGAAACAATGATACACTTATCTTGGTTAGCCCGGCCCTTGACGACCATGAAATCCACAAAGTTTGCATATTCAGACGTACCTAATTGGTTGGAAAAGTGCAGTGCAATATTATTACGTGTATTTATTTTTGAAAAACCTATAGTTCATATTTGTTTATTATCAGTAACAATTAACCTAAAATGTCAGTATTTAAAAAGGTATTGGCCACAGGAATATCAGCTTGTGGCGGTGGTTTAGTCTTGTATTCCTTATATAATCAGAATTTAGAGAAATTTAAAGTGAATGCATCTTGGACAACTAACCACAAACCACAAGTGCCCTGGGATTTCAATTGGGACAAGAGAAATCCTGAAAGCCTAGTGAAGCCCTGTAAAGGTAATGGAGATGAAACCAGGTACAATGTAGATATAGCAAATGCAACCTCAACCGCTAAGAGTCACATCATTTTGATCCGGCACGGCCAGTATAACTTAGACGGAAAAAGTGACGTAGAAAGATTCCTCACGGCTATAGGTAAGGAGCAGGTGGCAATGACAGGCAAACGGTTGAAGGAGCTCGGTCACGACTACACGCATCTGACTGTGTCTACTATGACCAGGGCTAAGGAGACAGCTTCCTTCCATCATACAGTGCCATCAAGTGTGAAAGTGACTCATTGCTCCATGCTGGAGGAGGGCGCGCCCATACCTCCCGAACCACCAAAGGGCGGCTGGCGCCCTGAACCTCATTTTTTGAAGGTGGAGCTCGCATCGAAGCAGCATTTAGGAAGCACATTCACAGAGCAAGGTCCTAAACAGAAGGAAGGCTCCTACGAAGTTATTGTGTGTCATGGAAACGTCATCCTATATTTTCTCTGCAGGGTACTTCAATTCCCGGGAGATGCCTGGTCGAGGATTTCTCTTCGTCATGCTACCCTCTCAATCTTAACGATTCCTAATCAGGCGAAAGCAAATTCATTTAGTCAAATTTGGTTTGCTGTTTTGGAAGTATTTAAATTTTCTCCGAAACAATTAGGCATACAACAACGGTTCAATATACTACCGGGTCGCCGGAATTTTATCCCCCTGGGCAAAGCTGACGTCTTTAGTAGCCTATCTTTATTTATTTATTTTGTAATCTCAACTAAGTAAACAGAATTCGCTGTTTTATTTTGATCATATTAACCAACAGTTGGCTTTAAAGATCGAATCCAGATACTCGAATCTCAAAATTAAAAATAATGTGTTCTGATTAAATTCACACCCGTTTAATCCATCGAGCTGATGTCGCGAAACTCAAAAGTTCGCGGCCGGAATTTTACCCCCTGGTTTGTGACGTCACGTTTGCCCAGGGGGTAAAATTTCAGGGGGATAAAAATCAGCTACCCCATACTACCACATAATTTTTAAGCTCTACAAAATGGAAAGAAATTGTGATTTTTGTTTTGTTTTTAGGGTAAAAAATGTTAAAACTAATTTTTACACCATAAGACCTCCCCCATAAGCCCCCGTTCCCGTAGTCTAACCATAGATAAAACATACTCCCTTAGTAGATTTCTCATCCTTATGGAACAGCTGAAGACAATTTTAATGTTAGTTCTGTACGGTTTATGTAGAGGTCGTGTTTTGTTTACAATTTGATTCCTGTTATTACAGCCATTTAAAACCTTGTTTAACCAAATAACACGATCAAATCATAAACAATAACTTGTCCCCTAGTTATATAACCAAACAGTAAAGCACAAATCAAGAATAAATTAACCCTAAAATAATAGAAACAAAGTTTCGTCGACACTAGCGCCCATGTGTCACGTACATGAACTAAACACCAAAAACTTGCTTCAAAATTTACAATGGGATGAGAAGTCTACTTGTGTTGGTTAGTCTATGGTCTAACCATGCTGGTTCATGAACTCGTTAGAATGTGTTGGTTAGTCTATGAATAAACGTAGGTTTACACGTTTGTACTAAATTTCATCAAAATTGGACCATTTTTGCTTGATTTGTCGTGCTAACGGACACATGCACATATGAATCTGATTGAATGGTGTTTTTGGTCTCTGGAGATCTCAAAACGAAAAAGTAAATTGGCCACGGACCCAGTTTTTACAATGAAACCTACCGGACGAAATTTCGTTGACACTAGCGCCCAGTAAAGCCAACATGAACTAGACATGAAAAACAAGCATCACAATATCAATACTACTTTTGTGTTTTGTCAGTCTATCTATGGCGCTATGGCTATGCATCAACCAAGCCAACTGAGTATCTACATGGAAAAAAATAAATACTTAATCATGTGGTATGTTTTTTACCACGCCGGCCTTCTTGTGATTGTCAAATAAATAAATTGTCTGCTGTCCGTCCATCCGTCGTCTGTTTATTTGTTTTTGTTGTTGACTGACTAGTAACTGGAACTGGAGTGCTGGAAATGATTCAGAGTTAAAAAGTACACGTCAAATTATTAATTGAATCTTACTTTTAACTTATTTATTATGAATGTTTTTTTTAGTTCTTATATCGTATAGCCTTATATAGCCAGTGTCATTGTATATTTATTTGATCTTTTAATGAGGTTAGTAAATTGCTATAATCTGAATTTTCAGATTATGACTAGTTAAACAGATCTATTTATTGTCTTCATGAAACATAATGGCAATAGGACTAGTGAACTTATTTTAGTTCAAATCTATAGTGTGGGTTTTCTATATACTCTCACCTAGGTATTATAAGTTATTCCTCTTATTTACACAATGCGAGAAAGTGCTGTGTAGCCTAAATCGTGCCACCTCCTTTATGCCTTGTGTAAGTTTTGTACAGCAGCAATCTTATTAAGATATTGTATTACACTTGTAACATAGGTACTTCAAGTTCAATATAATGGGTCTAGTATATTCAATATTCCTGCTAGTTATAATATTTAACAAGGCAGAGGATACACGTCCTGTTACCGGACGCGTATTAGGCGTCCGGCAGTTACTGTCATAACCTAACCTAACTAACCAAACTTGCTGATAATGAAAAAATTGAATGAAGGTTAAATTCTGTTCATAAAATAAAATTATAAATGCCTTAAATTCTAACAAAAGATGTACATGTACAGTTAAGAAGAAATGGTATTCTAAGCAAAATCTTTGAAAAAAGTTAGTGTCACCTATGGGAATCGATCTAGATACCTCTTGGTCAACAGCCGAGTAACTTACTCTATCCACTACACCACGAACACCGATAGCCCTACAGCGTATTGTTGTGGTAATGGTGTTCTGGGCCCCCACAACCCTGTGACTGTCGGACGCCAAACCCACGTTCAGTTACCAGACGCGTATCCTCTGCGATTTAACAAATCTCATTTAGCTAAAACAAAAACATTTTGCCTAACTAATTAAGATTTTTATTACAGTAATCACTGTGAGTTTTAAAACTATTTTATATTGAAATAACTTAGCTTAAAATAAAAAAAAAATAAAATAAAATCTGTACTAGCCTATATTTTTTTCATTAGACAAAAATTAAATCATGGTTCAGGACCAACAGGACAAATAAATAAATAGGCAATACAATGTCTTTCATTTAATTCTTAAAACTATAAATTCTTTAAGTACCTAACTTAGGCCTTGTACAACCAGTAATAATTTTTCCTGACAGGTTATTTAAGTGGTGTAGGCTACTGACACCATTTAAAAATACCAAAATTAAAACAAGCTCAAAACAAGCTAAAACTAAGCTTAAAACAAGCTAAAACCAAGCAAAAACCAAGCTTAAAACAAGCTAAAAAGTCAAAACTTTTCAGTGCGGGAACGCTCATCGTTCTCTCAGACAAAAGACAGGTTGCCTATAGCCTAGGCCCTATGATATTTTTGGAGAAAGACATTTCTTTCCTGCCCTACTACACCAGTGGGTTATTTTTTTGCCTACGTCAGTTAAATTGATCCTTCAGCACTATTCCGTTTTGTTTCAGGTACTATGGCTCTTGAATGCCAGTGTTTAAGACTGTTCAGTTTTCGTGGCTTTCGACTACAGCTACTGAGTAAAAGAGTCAGCATTTCAAATGTGTTATTCTCTCAGCGAGTTAACTCACATTTGCGAGGAATATCACCCACCTTAAATTTCCGTTGGTCTTTCAAAAATAACTATAGACTAACTCAGATGCCAGCTTCTGGCCTTTTACTTTTTTCTCTTGATCCACAAACTCAATTTGGCAGAATGGGCCTTAAATATCAGTCAAACCACAAACGTAATTTTGTAAAAGAAGTAAAGCATCAAGGAATAAAATTTGTCAAAGGCAACGAAGTAGTCAAAGGTGTCGAAAGAGCAATACTGGATAAGAAGCAAAAGTTTCATCAGACTGAAGAGCGATGGAAAAATAATAGCAAAAAGATTCTAGCAGATATCAAAGAAACTAAATCAAAAATGAAAGAAAGAATGGAAGAAATAGTAGAGGTATGTTCATACCCATTGTTTTATTATAACCTACAGTAAACCTCACTAACTCGACGATTTGTGGGCCCAGAGGATGTCCCGTTTGTGGGCTTGAACATTGAAATTTGTAGCCTAATGGGTTTTTTTAGGCCTCCCCCCTCTCTTCAACTTTTATTGAGCCTTCCACAATTTATTCCATTTATTTGAGTTGACCTCTTTCGGGTTTGGTTAAGTAGGGTATGTTGTTGCTGTACTCATTACTCATTTCACCTGCTGAACAAGATGAAGTGTGGTGATTAACAACACTCTGAACTTTAGACGCCTAAGTTTAATCTGGTCCATTAGATCCCTTGTCCTGGTCTGGATGCTCATGTGGCACATGGGCTAACAACCGGCTCTGGTCGGATTAGAGTTAGGTCTATTATTCTAAAGGCGGGTATAGTCTGTTTTAATCTGCTTTAGTATTGGGTCGAGCTGGCCAAGGAGCTTGTGGGGCGGACACTGTTGCCATATCGTCACCAAAAGTAAAGCTAGTTTTCTGACTCTAATCAGCTTTTTCGTCTCTCTCCACTCCCAACTAACCCCAACACATTTTTGCGAATAAATAACGAAATTAAACTAACTGGTATAGTTGGTCCCATATTTTCTGTGTTTATGAGCAAGTTACTATTAAACGAGAAAAAAATAGGCATTATATTGCTATTGACTACTTGCACATAAATCGTTTTATAAACAATTAGCAAGAAAGATCATCAATTTTAAACTATAATTATAATTACAACTATAATTATCTGTGCACAATACGAGTTAAGAGTCTGTAGTACTTTCTGCCAAACTAGATTCTTCGTACACGTCAATGTCCTGATTGATGTCCTCCACAAAGCAGTGCTCGTCTTCATTTTCTGACTCCTCATTGATGTCATCTTCATCTCCTTCAGTAACAGTGATGATCATCTGCTCTACATCCTGTTCCATTATTCCTTCTTTGTCCCACGCCTCGTCTATGATTTTCTTGACGTGCTCCACAACACAGCTCTATACTGTTAAAGTGGCAGTGATATGGTGGAAGTCGAACCACTTTATGTCCAGTGTTTTCAGCCAACTCGTCAATGACGTAGGTGGGATTTGGTGGTTTGTTTCGCCTTACTATCTCTTAAAGCTCTGCCTTTGTCATAGGTACCTTTTTCATACACTATATCGTGTCGCTGAAGCCATCCCTTAATTTCCCCTTTTTTTGTTGATGTATTCGGAACTTTTTCCAAAAGATGTGAATGGTATGACGCATTGTCGATGACTATTGTTGTGGGATTAATTTGTTGAAGGAGCAGTTTATGGTTGAACCATTTTTTAAATGCAACACCATCCATTTCTTTGTGGTAGTCGCAAGTACCTCCTGATTTAAATAATAAGCAGCAACCCGGAACAAAGCTACTGGAGCGACCGGCATGGAGGAGGATCAGTCTCTCACCCTTCCCTATAGGTGCAGCTATTGTGCCAGTTGTGGATCCATCAGACCATCCTTTACTTGGACAATGGCCTGCTTTGACCCATGTTTCGTCGAGCCACACGATATTTTCGAAGTTTTCCTTCCTGATATCTCTGAGAAATTTGCAACGTTTGGCAACAATATCATTTCTTTTAAGTACAATTCTTTTTTTATTTATTCTTTCGCATATAAAGCCAAGAAGTGTACGTAACGAAGATCTGCTTCCTTGAAATAAATCTGCCTCCTTCAGTGAGACATGCAGCTTATTCAATGTTGAGTGCTCCTTTATGAAGTAATAATAATAAATATGTTGCTGGATTGCATCTTGTTGAAAAGTGTTGAGTCGTGTCACCCTTCTACAAATGTTTCTTCTTTTATTGGGGGTTCTTAATTTTGTACACCTGCCTTCATTAATGTTCTTTGTTTTTTTCTTTGCAGATACTAACGACAGTAGTTTTGTTTATGCTCAGTGCAACTGCTGCTCGACCCACAGCCTTATCCACTGGCAGTAATGTACCCTTATTTTCCTTTTCCAAAATAAAATACTTTCTTACATTGTAAACCAACTCACAAGCCTGGCTTGGAGCTTTTTGACCAACCTTCTTGAAGGAAGAACTCTGCTTCTCATCTATTCTAGGGTGACCTCTCTTCTTCCGAGGTTCAGCTTGCTCAGCCATTACAAACTATAGTTATTATAAAGTCTGCTTGGTTCAAATCCAATAATTCATTACAGCAGCACTAAAACACCAATTACCACTAAGTAAAAAAAATATATACACAGTTTTATGAATAACTTATCCACTGATAGAGACCGTTAAACAAACTCGCTCGAATAAAACAAAACAAAACTACACAGCGTGACGAACTTTACAGGAAGGTTGACCAAGAGACACTAAACCATCCCTTCGCTACTTTCCGTAAATGTGGCAACGCCGGGGGAAACCACCTCCGGTCATTGGCCAAACCCTTTCTCATGCAGCTGATAACAAGTGCCCCTCAATACTAAAAGCAATACTAAAAGCAGTTTAAAACAGACTATAATTCTAGCTGCCTGTGGTTGTGACATCCACTCTTCATACAAGGATCAGGTACAGCTGTTTACATCCTAGCTGCCGAATTTGAAGTACCAATTCATGAAAAATCTAATATCAAAATCAAAAGACATTCACAATGCCACAGCCAAATTTTTCAGTCAGGAAAATCTGCGCTTTTCAAACTGTGCCTCTGGATCTATCTGGGTAGTTAAGTGAATATAGTGCGCCCCTGGCAATCAGAAGATGTCAATGATTAGTGATTTTAGTTAGGCCTAGTAACAAAGCTGTCACCTGAAAATACGCAACCTAGTGTGTCGGCAATCGGCATCATAAAAAAACTCTAAAAAAAGAATCAAATTTTTTTCAATTTTTCACCGAGCCTTGGTAAATGAGAAATTATTGTGGATGTATTAGCTATATTTTTGTAATCAAATGACAGTGCTTCCAAATTACTATAAAAATAAAACTAAAATAAACATCATTTTTTTCAGAGAGAAAACATTTGGACTGTTCCTAACTTTCTCTGTGTCTCCAGAATTGCAATATCTCCTGCTTTAGGATACTTAATTTTGGAGCAGGAATTTCACTATGCCTTGGGTTTGCTCATAATTGCAGGAATCACTGATTTGGTGAGTTAGCCTATTTTTTTTTATCTCATTATAGGCTACTATAAGATTTGTTCAATGAATGGATCCAGGCCAAGATTTTAATTTTTTTTAAGAGAGTGATATTTAAACGCTTTTTGGAAAGTGGTCCAAAACCCGCTATGCCTCGAGGGTGTGTGGGGAATCAAACCCGTCCTTCTCGTACTTGGCTAGCAACACACCCAATATTGTATGATATGTATTCAATATGAACCTAAAATAAAGAGGATATAACAGTATCCTACCGTAGAATAATGACCTACAGGTTGGCACTAGAACACACAGAGAAGACACATCAAACGCACAATATTTTGTCCCCTAAATGGACTTTGCTCTGTGTAAAGAGAGTTCTCAAAAAAGGTTTTTTGTCAAAACAATTTTTTTGTTCTCTACGCTTGACAAAGTCCTCCCAGGGTACAAAATATTGTGTGGTTGATGTGTCTTCTGTGTGCTCTATATGAGCCTATCTGTATTTCTTCTAAGGTATGATAGCTACTACCCCTTTCATTCTACAATTCATTGCAATATGAATCAGTCATGTTAGTTTGTACTGAAAGTCCGAATAATTTAAATATAGGTACCAAGCTAAAGCATTAGGCCTACACCTTGTTCAAATTGGTATGACAAATTTGTCAGAAAAGCAGATTTGAGTAACCAAACTGACACTCCCACACACTATAAAACTTCTGGCTTAAACTCACATTTTTTTTTAACAAACTTTTACTTACACAAGGACAATTTGGCTTGTTTTCATTAAATTAATAAGTTAAATTGAACATGTAGGCCTAGTGGGCTTAATAAAATAACTAATGAAATGGCTAAAAGCTTGATACTTTTCCAATGGGGGTTTCAACATTGGGCTTTTTAGGAATATTTTAGTTCTATTTGTGATAATTTCTAAAAGTGTATGAAATTCTTCAGATTAATGTTGTGATTGTGATAACATCCATAATATTTGTTGAATCAAATCATAAATAGCTTATTGTGCTACTAACTTACCTAGGCTTTTAATTTTTAAAGGAACAATGACTCATTTCATTTCAAGTCTATATCTATAATTCCAGTTAGACGGCTGGATAGCAAGAACATTTAAGAATCAGTCTTCAAAACTGGGGAGCTTTTTGGATCCAATGGCTGATAAAATACTAATCGCAACCATGTTCCTGACATTGACTTATGCGGGAATAATCCCTGGTAAGAGTAATTAGATGAGAAATATTTTCCCCTAAAGTTACGGTACCGGGCAAAGTGGGCTTCCTTGCTCTGATAGTAGCACACAGCTATTCGTCGTTGCATTTACTTACTTTTGCCGCACTCCAGTATTCCAACCAAACAACACAAAACTCTGTGCTTTTATTAGGCACGTAATACGTGTACACTACTTGAAAAATAAGTTGGCAACACTTAAAGATATTACGACTATGATCAGCTGGTGCAGCGTTTCCCATTTCGTTCAATGCTTGGATTTAACCTAAACCAAAAATTGTTTTGAAAGACTAATTATTAATATGCTTTATAGTAACTGGGAACTGTAGGAAAAATATAATGTGTAACGCGAGTGCAAAGTACCACTTCGCACACTAGTTACACAAATAACAATTTGGCATATTTTAAAAGACCATTTCCAATTTATAGGCCAGTTTCCAATTACACCTTGTCATACAATTGAACATGTGAATTGAATCTAATTTGAAACATATGGCCGCATATTAAACATAGCCTCAGAGCCGGCCTTAGGCCACTAGCATCTCATTTTCCTCTTCCAGAAACTGAAGAGAACCTCTTGTGCGAAGGAGTTGGGGGCGTGACGGCACTCTACTCTTGAGGGATGAATATTATACAACGTTACCATTACCGTAACGAGACGCTTTGATTCAAACGGTGATCATGGCGTTATTTGATAGCTAATTTTTTTAACCTTTATTTGATTTTTATTTTATATATTTTTTATATCATCAGCAAGTTTGGTTGGTTCGGTTAGATTATGACAGTTGAATTTTATAATAAAAAAATTTTAAAATAATTAATTTTATAATTAAAAATTATAAATAAACCTTCATTTAATTTTTATCTTATATCTGTTTTTATATTATCAGCAAGTTTGGTTGGTTAGGTTAGGTTATTACAGTTCAATTGTATAATTAAAAAAATTTAAGTTAAAATTAATTTTATAATTAAATACCCCCGCCGGAAGGTATGGGGTTTAGTGAGTGGGAGAAAATTTTGCGCCGTTCCGGCCAAACCTCGCATGCGGGGTTGGTTCGGCAGATTGGCCACAACCTAAACCCCAACTCTCACTTGTTAGCTGCGGAGAGCTACCTTCTGCCACTGGGTGTTGGTCCACCTACAGAACCAAGTGAGGGGGGCCCTAGACTAAGGTGTAATGCGATCCGTACTAAGAGTCTTGTGGCACTGGGGGCCTAATATTCAGTGTCTTAACGGAGCCTTCAGGAAACCAGGGGTAACCCAGTCGTACGCACCCCTTACCTCTCTAATTGGGTCACTGGGGAGGTGGACTTAAATACCCGGTATTCGTGAGAACAATGTAGACAATCTGACCCAAATGGAGGAGGAAGGTCTACTGAAATCTGACGATGACGACAAGCTCGCAGAAACCGGTAAGCGACGAAAAACGACTTTCCAGGGGCGAGTTGCAAAGATGGAGGATAGCGGATGCTTAAGCCAAAGGCGAAAAGGTGCTATCCAGAAGTGAGAGGAGGCTGGTGTGGGCTGCCAAGCACCCTAACTCTGCTGCCTGCAAAGCTAGTTCCTCCGGGAACTAGGATGCTGGGAAAAAGCAGAGCAAGGGTGGTACCCCCAAAGCTGACTCTAATGAAGCCTCCAGGAAGAAAGGTGGAGGCTGTGCTGACGCAGCCACAAAGGATTGGCTGGTCAAGCAAGTTCAGGAGCTGAGTCCTTCCAGGGATATCTCGCTACGGCTTGCCCCAGCCAGAGACCTTGTGAAAGCTGTGAAGGTATATTTATGTGCCCAGCCCTACAAGGTCTGCGTATGATTTGCGTATTAAATTTGCCAAATTTAATCAACATATATCCATAAACAAGTAAAACACAACAGTTAAAATTGTATCCATAAGAATAACATGAGAAATTTTAATTACACTATTTTTGCATTTTCTCCGTGTCCGTTAGACACATAACAGCGCTTCAATATACTAAATTATTTATTTTTTAAGCTCTACAAAATGGTTTAAAAGGAAATTGCAAATTTTTTGTTTTTAGGGTCAAAAATGGGAAAACCCCATTTTTACCCCATAATACCCCCATTAACCCCGTTCCCATGGTCCGGTTATGCTGGTTCGCAAACTCGTTCGAATAAACGTAGAGTATTTTCTTAAATTGACGTGAGGGGCTCTCTCTAAATCCCCCACTCCTTCGCAGAAAAAGGTTCTCTCCAGTTTCTGGAGGAGGAAAATGAGAAGCTAGTGTCTTAGGCCTGTGCAAAAGGTCCAGGAGCCTGCACCTTGGGAGTTCCCACTCTTGGTACAAAATACATAAACAAAATGTGTGTGAATACTATGTCAATTATGAAAAATGGAAAGGATGGTAGTATAAATGCTAATATAAATTGAGGTTTTTATCAAATAAGTAACAATAGAGCACAAGGGCCTAGATTTAAAGGATTTTTGTGAGGATAGCAGGCTTAACCTAAATCGGAAAGAGTACAGACTGGTACAGGAGACACAAAACCTTACACTATATAGGCCTACACAACATTGAAATATTTTACTGTCACTGACACCATTTTAAACTTAGGAAGAGAGAGTTTTCTTAAGCTATAAAGAATGGAGAGGAAATTAAAAGAAAGGAAAATGCTATCTTCACGAAAAAAATCCTTGAGACTGAAAATTAGTTGGGATGACACTTTTTTGGCAGTGGCCGCCGCTCTGAATGTTTGGCACTGGATCTCGCACAACCCAAGGCCAGCTCTGCATAGCGTTGATTAATATTGATACCAGTTACCATAAAATTAAAACAAAAAAGTGTATGGATGAGTGGTTAGAACCAAAGTTGTTTTTAAATCTAAAAAAAAAAATATAATGTACAGAAACATCAGTTTTGTTGTTACAGAGCTAAATCTGACTGTCTTATCCAATCTTGAACTTATTTTTAATTTTAAAGCTGCTCTCACTACTAAGGCAGACATAAAAACAAATATTTTATGTAAAAAACTCTATAACTTTGACCAATCACTATGGCTATCCAAGCTGAACGGTTAACTGTTATGAAATGAATCTGAGTTGCTGTGCAAAATGTGGATTGGTGAGTAGATTACAGCTTTACTACTTGGCCTTGTTAAAACAAAATATTGCTAGTTATTCCAATTAACAAGGGTTAAATTGCTAAAGGCTGAATCTGTAAACAAAAAAGTACCACGACCAATGCAGTAGTCTAGGATGCTCTCTGAAAGTTTGGAAAATTTTCAAGTTTGAATTAAACTTGACTAACTTGATCTAACTCGCTGCTAGTTAGACTTTCCACATTATAGTGTAGGATATTAATTACTACTAGTGTACCTGTTGCTCAAATTCGAGCAATAGCTAAGTATTACAGGCGTTATTTTAAAACTAATTACAGTCATAATTTCTGATGTCTTTAAAAGATTCGTCTCAAAGATTATGGAAATACTCAAGATGTACATAACAGATCGATATAATCAACATTTCTTGTAAATATCTCTTAATTTTTAAAAACTGATCTTGTTTTTTAGTGTTTTCTACAAATAGCCTTACTCTTATCTGGATTAGGTTGTCCATAATAAGGATTATAAATTCTAAAATAATAAACATTATTTCTATTTCTTCTCCTTCGTGGTGTTCTATGACTTTCCTATGTTTCCATATTTGCAAATCGGCTCTTTCAATGATTGCTCAATAAATGCAGCACATTGTTAATTCAGTTTTCTTTTTAGTACTGTATGTCAAATTTATTGTCCAGGCTTGTAGTAAATGTTAGTAATGTTTGTATGAAACTGTTAAATTAGCAAACTTGTTGACTGTTTACAATTAAGTTCTTCAGATGGAGTTTCATAACAATTTTTCAGTAGTTTCGGAGGAGTAATTGTCACAAAAATCCTGCTTGCGTATTAAATAAGTATAGATAGAATAGATGATGTATCAGCTACTTTTAATTCTGCTTGCTCAAAAAAAGATACCTTCGGTTGCTAGAACAATGTGAAAATAATATCCCTTCACATTTTTCTGGATCTTCCCAAACAGTTAAAGGTTTCTATTACAAAAAACTTCTCATTGTTTTTGGTATAAGCCTACTTCTTGGATTACAGTAGAACTCTTCCCACTTTCCGAACTCCAACAATCCGAATCTTTTAGAGAAAAAAACCTAAAACCACATTAACAAAAATCATTATTCATTATTAAAGAAGGCTAGAACCGCGATGGTGGCAAAATCTTAAATATCTCCTCCTCCTGTAGTCATGTAGATATCATCATCTTCTTCTGAGGTCTGGAAGGAGGAGATAAAAGGAATAGGATCCTATTCCTATCTGAGGTCGCGATATGATATAACTTGTTTTTATTTAATGTTATTGATATTTTTCACTTGTTATTCCTAGTTCCTCTGACCACGCTGATCATCTCTAGGGATGCTGCCTTGGTTGCTGCAGGCTTTGTGATCAGATACAAGTCATTACCACCTCCAGTAAGTGTTGAGTTTAATATTAATATTGTACTCTCTAAATCTCCCAAAACCAAGCCAAGAATATTTATTGCTATGACAAGGGTCATCTCATCATTTTGTTTTAAAAGTACAAGGGAAAGTAAAGAAAAGAAAAAATGTGCATTGCACCCAGCACAGATTTCCCACCCCTGTGATTCCGTGTTTGGCCGCTTACCCCTTCCTTTCTCTCCAGAGTGGACAGAGTCTCAGAGCTGTGCCATTACCCTATTTGACGACAGTACTGCCTACAGCGTTTTCAAATTGCCGCACTAATCGAATATCCCTCCAAATGTGAAGTTTAATCACCTGTTTGAATGCTCACAAAGTTAAACCAATTGAAATTTATAGGCAAACTAGCTAAGTACCCGTCCTTCGTACGGGGTTGGTATACAATGCTTATTGTAGTTAAATACTCGTGCTTTGCTTGCAATGAGAGAGGACCATTATGTGCTCGCTGGAGAGGACACGTTTTGAGAAAATTTTGTTTACTAATCTACGGTATACTATAGTATATAGAACATCTACCATAGCCATAATGTTCTACCACTTCACCTAAACAATAGAAAAAAGTAAAGTTCTCACACTCAGGTTTTTTTTGCTGCTTGGTTCAAATTAGCTGTTGTCATACATGTATAAAGAACTAATGGTGCTGCACCCTGTTGGTAAACCGTATAACCTTTTAATGCTATTGAATATCATAGAAACAAATTGTGTAGTTGAAACAGCTGGCAAAATTATTTAATTCCTTTTAAATATGAATACTCATAAGGTTAACATGGGAAACTCCAGAGCCGCTGAGGCAGAGCCCGAAAGGATTTTTGAGGTAAGAATATGTCTATATGTTAATCGGGAATGTGAGCTATCATCATACCAAATTTCAACACAATCCGACCAGTAGTTAATACGTGATTCAACTTCAAACAAACAAACAAACAAATAAACAAACAAACACACAAACTTTCACATTTATAATATTAGTATGATATGATTAATGCTTTCTGTGGTGAAGATGTGATGAATGAGTCATCAGTAAGAAAGCGGTTTATCATGTTTTAACAAATAAAGGTGTGTGTTTACATCAATTCAAGCTCGCATACGAGTACACCTCGCATTCCTCCTCGATTAAGTGTCAAACACAAATCTACTCGCATGATAGTAGTGAGTTGAATGAATATTGTCGTTTGAGTTACTTTCCAACATGTCGGGAAATGCTTGCACGCTCGAATACCATATCTTTGTGAAGCTCAGCTTGTGAAAACGTCGTTGTGGTGGAAAAGCAATATTTCTGTTTTTGCTTAGGGCCCTATTACACTTGGTCACCGGTGACGTCGCCTGGTTTCTGTACGGGCAGCCAGCCTCAACACCAGAAGTCACCAGGAGTGAGACCAACCCCCAAAGTTCCTCCACTCCAGTGCCTACATACATTCAGCGCTCTCACCTTGTTAAAAGTGCTCTGTTATCCGCGTCTTACCTCTTCAATTTAAAAATGTCCAGTGAACAAACATTAGTGAATAAACGGGGAAGAGATGCAGGGAAAGGAAAAGGGGAAGACAACTCAGTGAAAGGAAGCCAGTCTAGTGTGAAATGTAGTGGTGAAAAAGATACCACTACATTTTGGGGGTGCACGTGCATTTTCCTTGCTCATCTCCTCCTTTTCCTCAACAAAAGAGAAAGAAGTAGCATTTCTTCATATTTTTCCGACATTACGTCCACTCACTACACTGGCAACAATCTGAACTTGCAGAACACAAAAATACAGTGGTGACGCAACAGCGGTGACTGTGTGTAATATGTGCCATTTGCTTCAATACCCATAGTGACAAATCTTGGTCACCAGTGGTTACTCGTCTGGTCACGGGGCAGAGTCACTGGTCAGTCACCAAAAGCTGGTGACGCAACTGGTGTCCCTAGTGTAATAGGCGCCATAAGAACCAGTGCCCACCAACCAGTCAGGTCACAGGTGACGCCACCGGTGACGTCGCCTGGTGACTAAGTGTAATAGGGCCCTTATACCTTTTAGCGAATTTCCCTATAGGGAAGTAGCCATTACCGTAGGTCTCATGGTAAGACCTAGGCCCGGGACCGATTTACTTTTTCATTTTGATGTCCCCAGAGGCCAAAAACACCATTCATTCAAATTTGTATATATGTATATATCTATATATAGATATATATATATATGTGTGTCCGTCCTTACGATAACTTGAGTAATTTTGGTCCGATTTTGATTAAATTTGGTTTGAAGGTGTAAGGCGGGATAAACTTAAATGAGTTCGTGAACCAGTATGATCAGACCATGGGAACAGGGTTTAACAGGGGGTTTTATGGGGTAGAAACCCAAGTAAAAATTATAAATTAAAATATTTATAATTTCGGCTCTAAGGCCATTTTCAAAGTTAGTAAACGAAAATCAAAATAAAATATGTCATAAACTGTTATTCAACTAATTTGTATCATTTGACTACTGTGATATAGGCTAAGTTGTATCTGTTTGTTACACTTTTGTGTATAATTCTTGTAGAGAACGTTGAGCAGATACTTTGACGTGACACATGCCACAGCACAGCTGGCTCCTACGTTCATCAGCAAAGTCAACACTATGGTGCAGCTTGTAACTGTGGCTGCTACACTAGCAGCTCCCGTCTTCGGCTACTTGGACCACATTGCTCTGCACTCCCTATGGTAAGATTAAAATGCACCCCTACTTCTTCTTATAATTTATTATTTCTTTTCACTTGTCTATTCTAATTAACTAAGTAATTTTCAATCTTTGGATGGTCTGAGATAATATACATAAAATACCAGATATTAAAATTATTTAATTATTATTACACTTCTCTTGATAAAATATTAAGTTATTGAATTATACAAGATATTTATTTATGCATTTATGGAAATACTGTTTTCCAATAACTGGTTTAACACATTGCATTGATACAGAAATATGTTTTCTTTTATGAGTAGTACCTGGGGACCGAGCTTTGCTCGGGGAAAATCATTAGTTCACTCTGAAAGCACCTTAGTATTGGAGATACATAACCATTCCCAAACTCCATACGGCTCGCCTTTACTACGCCCTACACCATTTCCTACGTCATGGACCTGTTTCCCTCCATTCCCATAGCATTTTAAGATTGCAGATACCTTAATCTAATCGTCATAAACAGTTCCCACACTCTGGACTACTCGCATTGACTACTTCCTTCACCACTTCCTTTGTCGCGGACCTGTTTTCCTTCCTTCCCATAGCATTTTAGGATTGCAGATACCTTAATCTAATTGTCATAAACAGATCCCAGGCTTCGCACTGCTGCCCTTGACTACAAAGCTACAAAGTATCGAGTAATCTTCAGTATAATCTTTGCTAAATATTAACAAGCGATGTTTTTCCTTTTGTACTGTATTTGTAATTTGCTAGTATACTGTGGGTATAGCTCAGTGGGTAGTTGGCTTATTATGAACACATGCTACAACTTCAAGTCTTTTGTTTACTTTATCCTTGTTATTTAATTCATCCAACATGGTTACCTAGCAACCTATAAGACTAATGTTAAAAAAATTTGATTTTCAGTTTCATTTTTCTACGTAATTAGATTTTTGTTGGCAGTTCTAACTTCAGTAAACTCGTTTTTAGGCCAGAAATAAACTATTTACAACATTTGAAGGAAATCGTCGGAGCCGTTTTCGAGATCTTTTTTGCAAGCAAGCTAGCAAGCATACATACAAGCAAACATTGCTCGTATTAGATTATAGGATTTTTTGTACGATTGGTATTTTATGTCTTTAATCATTTATATTTCAACACAAGATGAGCATATTAAACCAAAATACAAAGCAAAAAATAAAAATGTGTTTCCTCCAACTCTACACTAATGTAAAAATAAGCGAAACAGGTGTTGTGTGCAATCCCTATGAAAAACTCTTATACCGTCAACATCTACCCAAGCCAGACAGTTTTTTTTTTTAAGATGGGCCCTCCACATCTGCCAAGCCACAGATTAGTAAGCTTAATATTGATTGCACAGGTATGTAATGTACCATCACATGTAGAAAGACCCAAACGGTACACTCGTCAGTGCAACACCTTAGCCAACTAAAGTCCCATGTCACAGTCGACCGACCGGGAGGAGTACCACTAAAAGCACACTTCGCTACTAGCCCTCAAAGGTTAGATTTAACGCACATTTGCGTCATCAGCAGCGAACGTGTTAAATGTTAATGTATATTTAATACACATGCTGTATCCATATGCATTGCAATATTTTTTTTAATTGTCACTGCTGCTTAGCAACTATTTATTATTATTTTTACTGATTCCTTCACATAAAATAAAATTTTAAATATTCCTTCACATAACCTTACATTTTTGTGTTGACTGTTAGTGTGCATATTGTATATATTTTCACCATTTTGTAAAGTTTGGTGAAAAAATGTGTTCGTACCACAGGCCAAAAGGGTTTTGCAGCTCTCAATCGTTTTAAATTCTCAAATTCAACTCTAACTTAAAAAATTATCTACTTCTTCTCTAACTTAAAAAATTATCTTGAGCCAGCAATACCTCATTTTTGGCCCTAGGTACGAATTATACTATATGTTTTTTTTATAAGCACTTAAATTTCAACTACGCCAATCATCAATTGACATTAAATTACAAATTATAAAATACTGTAGTATAATTAGAAGTTAATATATTTTGGCACTCTATGGTGAGTAAATTTGTTTATCAGGTCTATTTACTTTGATAAACTAGTGGAAGACTTTCATAGCTATAAAAGTGTACAATTGATATTGGCTTTGGATACATTATTTTTATGCAAGGGCGTACCCATCAGGATCAAAACTAGGGGGGGGGGGGCAAGAGCGTACTTGAAACAGGGGTTGCTGTGGGGGGCCCACCGGGGGGGGGGGGGGGGGCCTGGGGGATATGAAAAAATGAAAAAATTTTAATGAATTTTAATGAATTTTTTTGCCCCCCCTACTCTGACAAAAGTTGTCCTTTCCTTTCCTGAAAACCTCTATTAAACAATTTATTATATGATCATGCCTCTAAGCCAATTAAACACCTCTCCACAATGCATTTTTATCTGGGTTGAACAAAAGTCGTCTTAAAATGCACTTTTAGAAAATTTATGAATTACTAGCTCACTTTTGTGTGGACTGAAAGAAAATCTAACCTACAGAGCACTGCCGCATCAAAGAATCAATTGCCATCGCTGATGCCAAGTGCCACACACAGCGGCTTCATATTTCAAGCACACAAACACTAACTCAGTACAATACTTGAAACTCCATCTAGATTAAATTCTTAAGCAATATAATTCGGCTAAACATACCAATCCATTAGGCATGAGGAGTGAATAAGACAGAATGAAAATGGTGTCCCAGAGGGTGGACCTATTAATTTTTTTTCTGAAACCTGTTGTAAACTCAGATAATAATTTTTTGTTAACTTTAAGGACGAACTTATAGTTCTTTTTTACGTTCAACACAACATAGCCTATATTATATTTTAACTTTATACTACAGGTTGTAATCTATAAGATTTGTAAATAGTTTTGTTTATATATAATTTAGGGATTTGGGCTCATAAATAAAAGAATAAAAAAAACTCTGAAATACAATGTATTACATAATTTCACTATCAAATAGGTTTAATCGCAGGAATGCAGTTTATTTTAAGAATTTTGAACTAATGTGTTTTAAAGTAAAACTAGATAGGCCTATTTTGTATGTACAGTACAAATATTGAATTTGATAAAAATAACATTTTTTTTCAAATACGGGATTGCCTAACTTAAATAAAACAAACAAGTATTGTATGTAAAATAGCTTATGTAAAAATAATGATAGAAATAAAAAATCGTACTTACGACATAAATTGAAATTAAGTAAAATGTGCAACTCCTATTAATATTAAACATCAAGTGGGTCACAATAAGTTTAACCTAGTACTAAGCGCAAAAAGACATTTGTTCGTTCAATTACGAGATTGTATTTGCCTATCTTAAATATAAAAAAACAAGCATCTATATATATAATTCTGTAAGACCAAATTTTTACCAGAAAATTGTGGACGTCTGGTAAGTCGCAGAAAAGTGGGAGGGGTCTTAAATTAAAGGTCTTGACCCCAGGGACTCGGGAAAAATAGCATAATTCCCATACAGTTACCAGAAAACGAGATATAACGTAAAATGTTCTCCATAAGAATAGCATTAGAAGCCATTTACTGCTGATTTTTGTTTACTTCAATACAGCTGATCAGCTGATCGTGATTTATCATCAAGCAATGTCAACATTGGATTACTACTTATTTGCCAGTCAATTCTGCAAGACTGCAATGTACTATATAAAACCAGGGATACCGTTACCCTATAATATAAGACTTTTTAGTTACGTTATAGAATGTGGAAATAAATTATTTTACTGTGAAACTTTTCAAATTTGTGTACTTTTTTACGTTTAACATGAAATAACCACATTGACTAAATAATAACGATTCAAGATTAAAAATGGAAAACTTCTACTTTGTTTTTATTTTAAAACATATGTTCTTGATTTATCCTACACTTTCTTTATTTTAAACTAGCAGAGTACCCGTCCTTCGTACGGGGTTGGCAGATAAGTATAAAATGCTTGTTGCAGTTATGGGAGAGGACACGGTTTAAGAAAATTTGGTCTTTTGATTAATGCGGTATCCTATAGTGTAGCACACATATAACATAGCCCTAATGTTCTACAATTGCACCTAAACCATGGAAAAAAGTAAAGTTCTCATTGTGTACCACAACTTTTTGTAGCTAGTTGATACAAATTAGCTGTTGTCATAAATGCAAAAAACATAATAGTGCTGCACCCTGTTGGTAAGCCTTATAACTTTTTAATACTATTTAAAATCATAGTTAATTTAATATCTTGTTTAACTTATGCAGTTGAAACGGCTGACAAAATCCCTTGATTTCCTTTAAATATGAATACTAATAAGGTTAACATGAGAAACTCCAGAGCCAGAGCCACTGGGGCGGAGCCTGATAGGATTTTGAGGTAAGAATATGTCTATATGTTAATCGGGAATGTCAGCTATCATCATACCAAATTTCAACCTTTTCGGTTTAGTATTTTTCGCGTTTACTTGTCACAAACCATCCATCCATCCATCCATCCACCCATCCATACATCCATCCATGCATCCATCCATACATCCATACATCCAAACTTTCTTACTTATAATTTTAGTAGAATAACTTAACTGTTGTAATATTGATTGTTTATGGATAGATTTTTATCAAACTTGCCAAATTTATTTATTTTATACTAAGCTAATAATATTTTCCTAAAAATCACACTTCGTTACCCCCTGTAGGCAGCAAACCTAGTACACGTTAAGCCTAATGTTATTGAAATAGATTTAATTGAATATAAAGTCATTCAAATGGAAAGTTGCTTAGGCTGCAGGTTTGCTGCGATGGGGGTGTTTTGGAATTGTAATTGATGTAGAAAGAAGAATTTGTAGTAGTACATGATTAACTCTAATTTATACATATAAGATACTAAATAAATCAATCCCGTTGGTCACAATTAGTAGCGCCGGTCGCTTGTTATTTGAACAGCTACTGCAAACCAGCGCTACTATTCGTATTTGCTAGCAGCTATACCCGTGCCTTGCAACGGGGTCAGTATGCAAA